CTGTGTGTCCCAAATTGAGCAGCAAAAAACATCAAAAATATTTTTACGATTTAGTGAATACAATTATAGTTAAAAAAAAAATATAAAAACTTACATAGTATATATTATACACTCTTAAATACAATTTTTAATAACCTACAAAATATTGAAGATAATGTATATATAGGCGAACAAGTGGCGTATTAATAATCTTACCTCCCTGAGGGAGCTTTTCAATTTCGACCCTGACTAGCTGTACGCCCCCGTGCGCCCTCTATATATTTGTAATTGTAAAATATCGAAACGGTTAGGATTTACTGACCTTAAAAATTATTGAACCTTATATTACAACAGTAGGTAATCGTATATAGAGGTACTGTACGTCTATACCCCACTGACCGCGGCTTCGAAGGATAACCGTTATATAATATATAGGTATATGTAATAGAGTAATTATTCATGTGTACACTGTTTGGGAAGATGTGACAGGGACAAATCTTTGTACGTTGGGCTTGTGTGGTGTTAAGCTATCGACTAAATTGACCTATTGTGTGTATATATATATATGATACATATTATAATATATATAGTATCATCTCGTGGTCGCCTCTTGTCGTCCATCGAGTTGCCCGGCCCGCGGATACCTCCTAACGCACTCAAATAGTAATATAAATTATATATATTGCACACGTATAATTGAATTTCGAACGAGACGACGAGTGTCGTTTGTGGCGGCGGCGACGGCGCTTTGTTCTATTAATTAAAGTTCATCGGGCCGCCGCCACCGCCTCCGCGGTCGTATAGTCGGAGTCGACATCGCGAAAATTGTTTTACACAGCGGCCTCATCGACCAAATATTATATAATATATATATACGTATTATGTATATAGTATTGTAAATTAATGAGCACGTGCATGTACGTGCCAGAAGCGTATACGCGTCTTCGGAACGTGAGTCTTGTACATGCGTCTCCGCGCCAGCTGTCGCGACGACGGCGGAAAATTAGCGTGCGGTACTTACTGCAGCAGCAGCTCTTGCACAGTCCAGCCCCCCACAATAAACAATAAGAATTCGCACTTCTGAAATCTCACGTGGCCTGCTCGTTGTATATTTTACTCATAATGTATATATTATTATGTACCGCCTTTATTGTATTTACACATCCGTGGTCGAGAATAATAGGCTACATAATATATCCTGGATCTTTTTTTTTTTTTTGACTATGTATTAATTATTTTGATTGACTCGTTCGGTTTTTCAAACATGCTACCTATAAATAATTATACGATTACAAATAAACTAAATTCGTACTGAGTATATACGATTATAAACTAATTTTAAAAAATAAGGAGGTCAACATTTTATACTTTGAACAATGTATAGATTATATCTATAATAATTGATAGGTAGAATTTTATAATATTGAAGGTATCCATTATTGTGAGTTATTGCTATCGAACATTATGATTTTATGTATTTTAACGAAGGTGAACCCACAGATTTTCAGAGGTTAAAATTTCAAGTCATTATAAAAAACTGTTTCGAATAGATTTTATTTTTATTATTATTAAACTTTCCGTGCAATTGATTACAACTTATTATAAAAATATAAATATTCTGAAATCAACAGTTGCCTTATAGTCAATTTAAATGTCGTTATAATGGATGTGTTATATTTGAATTCAATGATAAATCATTGCGTATACGAAAAAGAATTCTGAGCGGAGACGTTGTCAATCTACAATTGTATAAATAATCAAATTTAATACCTAGTTAAAAAAAAATAATATGAATCGAATTTATCTCATGGCTATAAATAGCATAACTTTCCTGTGAACTTTTTTCTTTTTGTTATAGCCTATAGGTAGAAAAACTTATGTGAATTCTCCTGTTAAAATTTTAATCTTTGCTATAAAAAGAAAAACTTTTATGAATTTCTAACTGAAAAATAATTTACCTACATTATTTTAAAAATTTCTCATACTAGCTCAAAAAGAGACAAAATATTTCAAAAATGTTTCCCATTCATTGAAAACGCTAGTAAAAATATTTTTTGAAAACTTCAAAGGTCTACGGATATTAGTTTTAGAGTTACACCAAAAAAATAAAATTGTTTTTTTTTCAAAAATTGGTTTTGCGTAAAAATTACCACTTTTTGTTGGTTTTTTTTTACGTTTTCTAAAACTATTTCAGTTTTTTAATTTTAACCTCGCAAAAGTACTAACTAGATTCACTTTTCTATCAGATGCTAAAGATGCTGATCTCTAAAATTGTAATATATTTATTATTTACTACCCAAAATGTTGATGACAGACAGAAAAAAACATCCATCATTGTAAAATCAATACATTCTTTCGATCCGCTCAGATTCCAAAATATATTATAATATATTATTATCTAAACTCTAAATGATGCCTATGATATTGGCTAAAATGTATGCATTTGTTTGCAAAAGCTCAGGGTCTGTTATTCCGAAGCTGTATAATTATAAATTATTTTTGCATATAAATATGTATAAACAACGAAATTTAATAAAAATTTCATCATTTATAAAATAACGATTTGTAAAAGAGAAAAAATACCAACTTCTATATTACTTAAACAATTTTAAAATTATTGTTTTCCTATAATATTTGTCTTGCTTATACGCATTTAGCTGTGAAATGGGATCAAAAGCAACGAAGTATACAACATTTGATTAAACCGAATCTCTAAATAACACACTTCGTTTCGAGAGGCCAATTCAGAAAATGCCCTTCTAGGCCTTTTAGAACTAAGCCAGACTCTAGTTTCCTTTAAAACATTCAGTATTTTTTTTTTATTCTCCTATATAATGTATTAATTAATCAACCTCGACAGTTTTGGCTTATATAAAATAGTGCGTAAAATAAAGAAAATAATAAGTACCTACACATATATATATATAATATTTTCATATAAAAATAAAACTCTAATGGAGGTCGTAAATCATAATATATTTTCAACACTACCTACTTACTATATAGGAATATATACTCATGTGTAACTTTAAAAATTTAAAATAATGCAAAAATATTTTCTATCATATTTCTAAAAATAAAAAAAAGAATTCTTATAAGGAAATGAGAAAATAAACAATTGTAATACAATATTATTGTACGGTATAACGATTTTTGTAGGGTAGCCCAAAACCTAACCAAACATAACTTATCTCACCAATAAAATATGCAAATAATATTTCCATAGTATTTCGTATTACTTTAACTTTAAAAACCAAATATGAACATTTTTGATAGTATTTTTTTTTAAGTTAACTTATTAATTAAATAGGTAAGAAAGTCCTAGTTCAAAATTCAATTTTTATGTAGCACAATTCTGAGAAAAATGTTTTTCTCCAGAATATGAAATTAAAAAGCATGTTTTTATTCAAAGGAGTAAACATCTGTAAAAATATAATTTTTTATCATGTACCTAACCTAATATTGTATTCTAAAGACTTCAAATTATATAAAAAAAATACATTACATAGGTATTCAAAAAGGTTATTTCTCGAGATAACTACAATGATTACAAGTGTTTGCTGTTCAAATAACCACCCTATAACCTGTACCTATGGAATATATATTATTGTCTTTTCTTTAAAAAATGTTCTCGCAAAAAACTACGTTTAAAACATACCATCACGAGAAGCAAATTCTAATGCAAGAAACTATGTTTTTTTCAGAAATAATAAACAAACAAAGTTGTATGTTTTAATTATTATACAGCGTGTTATTACCACGCTTTTTGAATATTATTTGGGCTCAGCGAGTGCAGTGCGCCGTACTAGAAAAACCCTCTCATAAGCGCCTTAAAGTTTTGATAAATAGCTAAACTCTTGCGGTGGACCAAGATATAATCAATAAATATACAACAGCTTATGCACACGTGTGCGCATGTATAACGTTGGATATGTATAGGTTGTATATGTAAAATTTAATTTAAATGTAAAGCTTCTCAGATAATTTTTGTACTTGAGAATAAAAACTTAGATCTATATTTTGAAGTTTTATGCGAAACCGTTAAATGTAAAAAATTCAAGTTTCTGATCTGTGGAGTATAGGTAATTTTGTATAATGAATATACCCAACACTAGTGATAATTACCGCCTATAGCTATTATTTTGTACTTATCTATCATTATACAATATGGATACTCGAGTGAAACAGCAGGGCGAATCAAATCGAATAGTACAATAATATACACGCGCCTTTTCGTTATCATATCATACACGTAGATCGTGTATAGTGTTATTATATTACATTTATATATATAGTGCTATATATAATAAGACTGAGTTGTCAGCCATATAATAGTAATAATATATATGTACACAAGAATTCGCCGGCAAAAGAATCAACAAATAAAATATTTCTATAGGACAGAGGGTTACAACAACTCCAAAACTCCGGTTGTGCCACTAGCACTCCGTGTACATATATATACCTACCATCATATTATATAGATAATAACAATATGGAAGAAACATATGCGTAAGTTTCGCGAACGTGTATACTCGAAATCACTCGATTTGCGTGCTTGTGTGTGTGTGTGTGTGTGTGCAGCAACGTGACAGAAGCCTAATAAATTAGAACCTCGTGCGTGGAATATAATATATATATATATGTTAGCGTTAAAGTATTTAATGGCGATATTTCATGAAATACCTAGCTATTATATACATTAACCAAATCAATGCGATAAAACATATAATATTAAATTTAACTAGGTATTTTATGAATTCCCCGCGATTGCTCAGTTATAGTTTATATATTAGATTTCGTTAAGATAAGGCGAGATAACGTCAATAATAAGTGACGATCAAATCTAACCCAACGTTCCAATCAATTTATTATTTCGTTGTGGTAGAACATAATATAATATGTTTGTTTCTCGTCCAGTTGTTTGCAGTACACCATAGATACATTTAACGCATTATAAAGCTGTAGTACCTACACGTTTTTAAATTTTTTGATTGAATTTTTTTAAAAATATATTCAATATGGATGAAACAATGATTCTTATGAAACAAAAATTTTACGAATCAATTGAAAGACGTGAGTACAAAAATAATAGTGCTATTTTATCTAGTGAAAAATATTTAAATTTGATATCTGACGTAAAAAATATGAAAATTAAAAAAACTCAAACCCGTGATTATTGGCTTGCGAAACATTATGATTTAATAACAATAAATGGCGTCGAAACATTAATTTACCCATTTAATGAAAACAATCCTAATTTCAAAATATACGTTATGATAGACGATATGTTTGACATTTTAAACAGTGTTCATAAGTCAATCGGACACGGAGGAAGGGACCGTATGTTATTTGAACTTAATAAAAAATATAAAAATATTACCCAAGCTGATGTGAAGTTGTATTTAAATTTGTGTATTCCATGTCAACAGAAAAAAAAATCACAAAAAAAAGGTATTGTAGTCAAACCAATGGTTTTTAACGATTTTAATAGTCGCTGTCAAATTGATCTTATAGATTTTCAATCACAACCTGATAGAGATTTTAAATTTATATGTGTCTATCAAGATCATTTAACAAAATTTTGTATTTTAAAACCCTTAACTTCAAAACGAGCAGAACAAGTCGCATGTGTGTTATTAGATATTTTTTGTTTATTTGGTGCCCCCGCTTCTCTTCAATCTGACAATGGTAGGGAATTTTGTAATGAACTAATTAATTCATTGCGTGAGATGTGGCCTGATTTAAATATCGTTCACGGGAAACCACGGCATAGTCAGTCGCAGGGCAGTGTTGAACGAGCCAATCAAGATATTGAAAACATATTGACAACTTGGATGCAAGATAATAACACCAATAAATGGAGTGAAGGACTCAGATTCGTTCAATTTATGAAAAATAAAGCCTATCATTCTGGAATTAAACGAAGCCCATACAATGCGATGTTTGGAACTGACCCTAAAACTGGCCTAACATCAAGTATATTGCCACACACTATATTACAAGAAATACCATCAACCGAAAATAGAAAACGCAAACAAACAGAAGAACGACAAAATGCAAGAGACAACTTAGAAATACAAGCGAAAAAAATGAAGAATTTATCAAATGCTAAATTTCCAGAAGCAAAAGAAGGTTCAACAGTTCAACTTAAAATTCCTGATGTTGATAGAGGGAGGGGAGATCCTCGATCGGTAATTGCTGTGGTTCTCAAAATTACTGAAGACGGGTTCTATCAACTTGGATGTAAAAGTGGTATGTATAAGATTTGTTACATATTATTTACATTTAAATAATACCTTAACTTTTAAAATTATAGGTATTTTAAAACAGCTATATGCACGTTCCCAATTTACTACGTGTTCAGAAAACCTTATATCATTAAGCGATATACCTCAAGAAAAACAAATTTCTCTACGATCTGCAGCTACAGAACAATCAATTGGAAATGGACAAGGTTTTTTTAAATGTACTTGTATCACTAAATGCACCACTAATCGATGTATATGCCGTAAAAATGGTGTTTTGTGCAATTCAAAATGTCACCAAAATCAATCGTGTACTAATTTTGACAAATAGTGTAGATAATATAATTTTTATTCATTGTAACGTAATGTAAAAAAAAATTGTAAACATGACTAAGATAGATCCAAAACCAATCTTGTATAAAATATTTTTTTTTAATGTTTATTCATTTTTATGATTTATTAGATTTTTTTTAGAATAATTTATAACATCAATCACAATTATCCACTTTAACTAGTTATTAATTTAAAATGTAAACACTTTAACGATTCATTATCTGTAATTCTATAATATAACTAGTTATTTTATGCATTTTCAAGATAAAGTATTTATATAATTTGAATGTAAACACTTTAACTAGAATGTTACGTTAAACTATAAAATAACTGGTTTAATACTTTAACGGTAACATATATATATATATAAACAGCAGGAGGATAGTCGAGACAACGCTCGCGCCGCTCAAGTTTTGGAATTTATATATTATATGATAATATTTGGTCCGTCCGCTGGCTGTGTTATGTACTTATACATGTGTGTGTGTGTGCACTGAGTTAGTGTATACGACGTGCTTGCGGTGTGCATACAAAGGGAGAGACGACAATGTCCCGAAAGTTTATCAGACTCGGGCGCGCTACTTTCGGCGGCCGAGTCCCTCGTGAAAAATCGGCGAACCGTGCCGCTGCAGTGTAATAAATTAAACCATATTATACGACGCGTTGTACGATATTGCATTATTATAAGTGTATTATTTATATATAAATATCGATTGGGAGAAGGATGAAATTGATTATAATATTTTAGTGACGACGTTTTAAATATTACATAAAAACAGCGATACTTTAACAACAACAACAATAATAATAATATGATATTGTTAGTTTCAGTTCGTATACACGTGCGAATTTCCTGTATTTTTCTTCATAGTTGCAGTGAAACGCTAAAAAAAATTACTAAATGACGGGAATATTTACTCAATTTAGTTACCTACTTTGTTTAAAATCGGTAAACGAATAACCATATGTCGACACTTGAAATTTTAATCAAATATTTGTACTAGCATATTAATTATTACATTAGCATTCTCTACACAAAGTATAGTTTTCAAAGTGTTTTCAATCTTTTTTTCACTCTTTTAAAAATATATGATATTTTTTACTTTTTATTTTGTGAAAGTTGATGACAATATTTAAGTTCGGTCGAAAAGCTTGAAAATGAAATACAAGATTCCTCATGAGTCATAAGCGTTCTTACTGGAAATAAAAAAATAAATCGAACTGGAATCCACATTATTTTTTTATCAGCTTTAGAAGTTTAAACGTTGATGAAAATGGATAGAAAATATAATAATTTTTAGATATTTTTGTGTAGCTCAAAAAATATTATTCATAGGAACTTGAAACTATGGCCATTACGTATAATATTATCAAATTTACACAAGTATATTATTAAAATGAAAGTACAACCACCTACCGTTTATCACCAATAGCAAATTATGGAATAAAAAATATCTTTAGAAATATAGGCTGACAGTCTATTCTTTTTTCAGCATCGTTTTTAATCACGTATGTTTTTTAATCGTATAGGTACCTATACAATGGTTTATCATTGAATTCATATTGAACGTATCTATTACAGTGACCTACTCAATGACGAAGTGCACTCGACACCTACAATACAGCAACATCAGAGTGGGCTACACGGTTTTTTTCATGATTTCTCGTCAGTTTAAAACCTTTTTTTCTCCACTTAACCCTCTTTTTAAGCCGTCTTAATAAAATACAATGTGTATAATATGCATGCATTTCTTCAAAACGGCTGGAATAGACATTTTTGTGAGAGTAGGTAGCATATAATAATATACTCTCGTAACCACTCTTTACAGTCTCGACTGTGGAATGAAGCGTAATCGAATCGTTGAATTATGGTCTCTATAAATTCGGATTTGAATGTATCAAAAAAATATATATATATTCCACCAGTTGATCAAATATTAAAATGTTAAGTTTTTTTTCTTCATTTTCGTGTATTTTATAACAAAACCAACATAAGTTGGATCCTCTATTTATAATATTCCTCGATATTATTTAATTTTGCTACCTAATCGAAATTATTTATATTAATTACTATTATTTAAAATATCCACTATGGATTATTTATTATTATTAAATTGATGTGTATGTAAAATAAGTTACCATTATTTAATTATTAAATTATTCCATAATAAACTATCAAATTATTAGTGGTAAAATGAACATTGAGAATAGTAAAATCAAAATTTTTATACAAATATAAATACACTTAATAGTTATCGCATTAGTGTTACTTGTGAACAGCTTGTACCTATTCATATTTAAGTACTGTGAAAACGGTTCTCCTAGCTATCTTCGTCGGTTCCAAACGATAAAAAATAATATTCAAATAATAGGTTATTACAACATTATACTTATCTAGTTATAGTAGGTATGTCACTATTACTTTATCAGCAGTGATTTGTCAAATTAAAATAATTAAACAAAATAATAGTTTTAAACTAATACCAAAATATATAAGGTAATTAAAGCTATATTTTGTTATTACAAAAATTATATACCTATAATTGTAATCCACACATAATTAATACAATGAAAATATTCAATTATGATAATATCGAAAGATAATCTCTCTTTAATTCTCCTGTCACTCATTGAGTATTCTGAAAGATATCTAAAAGCCATATCGTAAAGAAATTATAGTTTATAGTAATACAAAACTATAACAGTTGTACATACCAAAAGTTATATTTTAGTAAAATATTACCCACTTAATAATTACGAATATCATATTATATAGTTCATAAAGCCCATAGACAACCGGTGGTTTTGCTTATAATATAATAAGTATTAAATAATTAAGATAAAAAAATGTCGTTCGTATGTATTTTATGTACGAGAGTATGCCACTAGATATAATATTTCCTCTGCAAGGAAAATCGAGGAACCATAGATATATTTTTGGGCATAGTGCAGTGGAAAAATATCTAGGAGCATGCTACATTTTGTTCGGAATTTAAATTTTTTTTTTTTTATGTTGTTGTTTTACATTTCTATGGCAATAAGCAAAACGTTACCAAAATCGGTTAGGAAATAAAAAGTTGTACCCAGCCTAATAACGTATTTATGTTAAAAATATAAATAATCACAAACATAAAATATTATATTAATAGGTATAATTCGATAACTATTTTATAAAATGATGTTCAAATTGAAAAATAATGGGAAACTATTTTAGGGAAATATTAAATGTTGGCTTATAAGCATGAACTTTACTATTGACATTCGACTTTATTGTATTTGCTTTCTTTTGGTTGACAATAGGTATTAATTGCTGAAAAATTCAACAAAACTAATCCTCTCTCCTAAGATTGTCCGGTCCATAGTAACTAGTAAGTATTATCCTTCACTCCTTTTATCATAATTACCTTTTTTCATACTTCAAAAACTTAAACTTTAGTTTAAACACTTTGTGCTTCAATATTTTTCACACTAGACTTTTCCATGATAAGACCATCAAGTATCAATCCCTCCTCCACGCCATCATCATTCCGCAGTTAGTCGAAAAAACCTATAGAGTTGTCCATTGTATTTAATTTAAGTTACTCAGTTCTACATTATGTTATATTAAATATTTTATAAATACCTATATTTCGTAAGTAAAACATAGTATATAAAATAAAACTAAGTGAACCAATATTACTCTATAGATTTGAGTGTACGAGTGTACCTCGTCAGTGATAAATCATTGAATATGAAAAATACGATTCTGAGGAAAGGAAATCATAATATAATATTTCTAAGTTATTAACTACAAAATAATTTATATGTTTCCTTGATTTTGACAAATGTTGACTGTTGTCAATAAACAAAGCGTTAAGAATATCGGCCTCGCGAAAATCAGTTGGAAAAAAATTATAACCAGGTTATCTATGATAAAAAAAAATTGTGCCTTTTTATTTTTAATAATTTTAAAATTCGAAATTATAACTAAGTAAAATGAATGTAGATTTACGATCAACTTATTTTTTAATTACAGTAACAACACTATTATGGATTTATGAGGAATATTGTTTTACATTTCCAAGATTTTGACAAACATAGACATTTTTTCAATATTTAAAAAAGAAAACTTAAAAACATTTTTTATTTAAAACAACTATAAATAGCTTTAATTTAGTCTAAATACTTTAGATTCAAATGGATATATAATATATTACAAGTTTCTACGCTTAGTATTATTTGGAAACTATGGGTTCTAAAATAACCTAAGAATAGAAATCGTTATTTTACGTGTGAACGTATTGTATGATAATATTATAATCGATAATTTCCATACTATATAATATTAGTTCATATACAGTATATATTATTTATTTCCATACCAATGTCGTCAAAATTTAAACTTCAATCACACATAAAAAATGTATGTTGCTTCACTCTAAACTTTTTTAAATAACAAAAAATAAATATAAAATCTATTTTTTCAAAACTCCAAAACAAGTTATTTTAAAAAGCACTGTGAGTTTTTAATTATATTGATCCCCTGGCCCCTAAAGAACAAAATATATCGTATTTTCTACCAGATTTGTTTTTGTAAGATATTTGTTCAACCATAGCTACCGTACCTATATATATTACTATAGTAGAAAAATAAATAAATTATAACAATATAATATAGATATATAATATTAAAATATCATTGTAGAAATATACGCTGACAGACCATCTTCACTCAGAATCGTATTTTGTTAGCAATGATTTATCGTTGAATTCAAATTTAACACATCCATTATAGTGCGAATAGTGCCTACTCAATGACGAGGGACACTTGAAACCAACTTCTATATACAGCAGAGAAACTTCCTTGGTTTTTCTATTAATATCGTATAAATGTAATTCTTTCTGTATAAACTCATGCTCGTTTAATCTTAAATCAGTGAATAATGAATATACATATATATATATATATAGTAAGTTTTTATAGGTCATACACAGTTTATATTTCAAATAGCACATTTA